AGCCTCCTTCACATTTTCTTGTTCTTTTTTGGGCATTGGTTGTTAAACACAGCATCGTGGCCACCACTGCTTTTTGTAGTCCTGCTTCTAATCTTGACTCCTTTAGCCCATTTAAGATGAATGGTATAATTTCAAAGCATATAAAAGAATATTGGGAATTTTTTGTTTGCATTTCTGATTTGGTTATACTTGTGTCTCATTTTTTTTCTTTGCTTGAAGAAAAAATATTCCTGAAATTAGTCAGCTCCTTTAAGAAGCCCACATGTTGTAGGTACCTAAGTGTGGGACCCAAGACTAGGTTACATCAATCCCTGCTGGCTTTAAAATTTGTGTGATCTTCTTCAAGAAGTTTGGCAGGTTTTTTTTTTTTTTTTTTTTTTTTTTTTTTTTTTTTTTGCGGGTAATTGAAACATGATTATATTCTCACTGTAAAAATTTAAATATTATAGAAAAATTTGATGTAAAAACATGGAAGTCTTTCAATAATCCCTAATTCTCAAATTGAATTCCTTTCCCTAACTGGACCACTCTCTGAGCTGTGAACCTTCCAAAACATTACCTGTGGATTTATGCACACATATATGTGCATATGCCAATTACAGGGTTTTACATACAGTAAATCATCATGTACATACTCAGTAGCTTTTTTCACATAACAGTTTGTTTTGGAGATCTTCCCATGTGAGTTCCCTAATGGTGGACATTTAGGTTGTTTCTAATTATTTGCTCTTACAAACAGTGCTATAATTAACATCCTTGTAAATGTCTCTTTGTGCATATGGGCAAGCATTTCTTTAGGGTAGCTATCTATGGTTTGGCAATTTCTACTGTCTTTAATTGCATTGCCTGGTATCTGGCAGACGATCTTCTGCATGTACAATAACTTTTCATGTCCGTGCTCCATTATAGTGTAAGTTTTAGAAAGATGTTTTAGGCAACAATTAGGAATCTAAGTTTAAGTTCAAATTCTGTATGGATTGCTGTGGTCAGCTGAGGTGACACTTGAATGAACAGATAGATAGCTCTGCACATGGCTAAATTCACACATGTACAGGCAATTGTGTTGAGTAGCAGGTAAGGTTCCTTTTCTGCTGACTTTCAATGTAAGGCACATCATGATTTTTAAAACATTAAAATCTGGGAAAGTGCATCGTAGAATTGAGGAGTTACAGTAGTTTATTTTCCCCAAATCAGTAGCCTATTGCTATGCGTCCATGTTTAAATGGTCCTTTCCCTGTGAGTTGATACAACGGCTTTTCCACCAATTAATTTCCCCGACAGGTGGGTGTGCTACAGGACTGGGGTACTGCATGGATCTGCTTGTCTATTCCTGCCCTAGTTCAGGGGGCAGGCTCCCCTGTGATCTTCTTTTGGAAAACTTTCTTGCACATTTGTCTTTCCATCTACTGCTCTTTCTTCTTCCCCACGCTGCCCCTTTTACACTGGGTGCTTCATTAGCTTTCCACAATCTGCATGATTTTGCATCGCAATGGGTCGGATGTGAGAACATCTGTAGCAGGCAAGAGCAACTTTTCCTCAGGACTTAACACTGAGCTTGCCATCATCAAGAACTCATGCCTTTCTCTCTCCTTCTCTTTTTCTCTCATTCCTTGACATCTCCCACATTGCTGCTCAAACATCAGTTATGCCTGAGTCTTGAGTGGTGTCAATCTGAGTTGAAAATATGCGAGCTTTCTTAACATCATCACTAACAGGCTGCTTAATTAACCTGCTGATACCATCAATAATAGATCTTGCTGGTGTGTTAGAGAGGAGACCTTGGCCCAGGGTTGTGTGTGCTCTCGTTCTCTCTGTCTCTCTCTCTCTCTGTCTTTTTCTCTCTGTTTCTCTCTCTCTCTGTGTGTTTCTCTCTCTCTCTCTCTCTCTCTCTCTCTCTCTCTCTCTCTGTATTGTTTGCTTGGGCTCTCAGTGTCACTTGTCACAAGAGCTGGACTTGCCAGGAGTGGGATGGGAGGGATCTGGGACAGTTTGAAAAGGATATGGCAGAATTGAAAGTTCTGGATGAGCTCATGGAAATGAAATCAGTGTGACAGGCTGGCATTCCCATTGCTGAAGGGCAGGGATGGCTGGTAGCCTGTGCATATGGCAGGTGCTCAATAAATGGCTAACCAGTGTACACAGTCAACAGAATTGCTTGCAGGTCATGTGCCATCTATGGAGGCAGTAAGAACTGGCTGTTTCAAGGGAGGAGCCTGGGGGGTACCATCATTCTGAGATGGCTTTTAGGGTTTTCTCTGTCTTTTTTTCCATCCAGGCAGCTTCAGAGGTGTTCTGGAGGGGCTGGATGAGGGGAAGGAGGCTGTGTTTTCACTTCCTTTTGTGCTTCATCTTTCTTCTCAGTGGTTTTGTGTTTGAACCAAAGCTATCCTGCTTGCCCCATGTTTTACGTTTGGGGATTATGGGGAGGGAGGGAGATGCTGCTATGAACCAGGACTGGTCCACCACCCCCTCCAGATCCACACTCTCTTCTCTTTGTCCCTGCTATGCATACACACCCAAAATGGGGGCTAGAGGCATTTCAGCTATCCCCAGCTTCCCCTGACCTGGGCATGGGCACAGGTGCAGAGGCTGACATTTTGTGTGAGCTCAGCCAGCACCCAGAAATCCCATGGAGACCCTAAATGCTGCCCTTTATTTTATCCTGGGAGAAGCCGAGGTGGGGTTGGGATGGCAATGGCTCAAGTTCCCAGAGTGAGCTGGTAGCTCCCGATCTTAGCAGGATGCTTGTCTCTTGGACCACATTCCTGTAACTTTGCCTTTCCTGGAATGGTGGTGGTGGTGGTGATATGGTGGACAGGGTTCTCAGAGGGCAGGGATTGATGCCTTTCAGGGCAGAAATCCCCACTATCGTCTTCAACAGTTTTCTTAGGTCTCCTGGGAACCGAGAGCCTGACAGCCCCAAGGGCATGGGGGTTGCATAGCCTCCCTACGGCCACTAGAGGGTGTGTCACTAACACACAGGCTAGGTGACCGCTTCCCAAGGCCACCCTGAGGGGCCCTTCTGGGCCCTGAGCCCTGGGTGCCTGGGGCTGAGAGGGAAGAGATACAGAGCCAGAATTGGAACCCAAGCCTGATGGCCCCAAACCCAGGCTCCCAACCCCTCTCTGTCATGCCCTGCTGACCGGATCTCCTTTACCTTGGATTCAGCTTTCTAATTCTGTCCCTCACTGCCTGTGGTAAAAACGAGGGTTTCCCAGTGTCAGCACCATTGACATTTGGGGGCCAGATGATCCTTTAGTGGGGAGACTGTCCTGTGCCTTGTGGGATGTTTAGCAGCATCCCTGGCCTCTACCCACCAGATTTGCCTGCAGCAACCCCCCACCCCAGATTGCAATCACTGAAAATGCCCTCAGATGTGGCCAAATGCCCTGCAAATCTGCCCCAGGTGGAGAACAGCTGTTTAGAGCAGGCGAGCATGCCTGTTGTGGGGCAGGAAACCCCAGGCCGCAGAGGGACTGCCCGTGGTTCCCGCTGCGCTGAACGTTGGTGGAAGCAGGAGTGATGCTCGAAGATGGCGTGTGTGCTGTAAATACATTTTAGAACTGTATTTGGCCTCCTGCATTTCTTCTCCAAAGACTGCAGAGCCTCTCGGTCTTGCCCTGTTTATTCCACCTCCCCATTTTAATGAAACAGGCGACTGAGGCCCCCAGGGTCTCAAGCCACACCTCACCCATAGAACCTTGTCCCCCAGCTGTGAGCACCCTGGACCGCTTGTTGGCTCGGGCCCCAGGAGCATCTGTGGTCTCCCTCCCACTCCGCCTGCCCACTAGGCCCCGCCACCCTCCAGCTCCCCAAACCCTGGTGCCTCCCCCCACTGGAGGGAGGGGGAAGCAGCAGGTGTTGATGCTAATCAGCGTTCACAGCCCAGAACTGCAGTCGCTCCCAGGCTCACACACTCCCCAAAATTAAACACTCATTATACAAAATTAATTGACATTAATTAGCAAAAATTAAAACTTTAAACACAGCAAGGCGCTTTAGGGGGAGGAGTGAGGCAGGCAGGCTCTGAATTTGTCACCCCCCACTCCCCACCTGCCCACCCCTCCCAGGTTCCCCCACTTCCATCCTGAAGCAAGGCTGGGAGAGTTCAGGCAGGGTCAACACCCACACTGCACCGGGCCACGGAGCCTGCCCAGTCATGTGAGTCCCAGGCTAGGGGAGCAGAAGGAGGCTCCCTGAGCTAGTCGCCAGCTGATGGGTGGCCCCAGACTTCAGCAGCCAGTACTTCACTGTGGAAGCAGGAATCCTCCCCTTAGCCTAGGTCCCCAAGATCTCAGAGGGCAGAGGGGCCTAGCCAAAGGCAGGAACTCGACCATAGGAAGCAAGAATGGAGAATGTCTTCCTTTAACTCAGCCCACCGCCCCCACCCTAACCTTCCTGCCCAATGGGTATTCAGGAGGCATAGGCACTGTAGCCTTTCTGCTCTGTCCCACTCTGCTGTGTGACCTCAGATAAGTCACTCCTCTTCTCTGAGCCTCAGTGTTCCATCCATATGATGAGGGGGTGGTGCTGGGTGAACACTGAGGTTTCTGCCTCTCTGGCACCTGCTGTCAGGGTAGGCAAATTTCTGGGAACCTGATTCACTTAGAGACAGAGGGTGCTGAATGTGGGATGGGTAATTCAAGAGGATGGGGCAGCCCAAGGGCCCCAGCGACGGTGGAACATCAGTTCTGGGTCGGTGGGGAATGCGGCTTCAGATCAGAGAGCCCTCCCAGGTGGACGCCCACTTGGCCTGCCTAGGGGGCCTGCCCCAGAGGAGAGGAAAGCAGCCCCTGGGTAAGTGGCCACTCCCAAGGGCCCCCAGATCCCTCGACAGGCCAATAGGCAGATGGACAACAGAACCACCCCTTCCCCAACCTTTGCCCATGCATTTGAACGCAGAACCCTGTGGCTTGGGTAGGGAGGAGCACAGTGACCTCCCTCCAAGTGGAATGACGTCCTCCTTCTCATCCTGCTCTCTGCACCCCCTCTCTCTGCAGCCAGTGCCAATATCTGCAATGTGGTCCTGATGCGGTACGGGGAGCTGGAGGAAGGGATTGATGTCCTGGACAGCGATGGCAACCTCGTGGGCTCCTCCAAGATTGCTGCCAGACATGTGGGTCTGGGGGCTTGCAGGGTTGGGGAGGCCAGCAACAGGGAGGGGAGTGGTTTTCCCTTAGCATGTGTCTTCCACAGGCTTCTCTCCAGAGTACCCTGGTTTTCGCCTCTTGATGTCTCCTCCTCACCCCGCCCCCATCTCCAGCCTTCACGAATTCGGGCCTCTGGCTTCCAGCCTGTTCCCCCGGACGTGCCCTCACTGCTGTGAAAAGTCCCTATCTCTTGTCCCAGCCCCTCAGGACCCAGCTTCTTGCTTGTCTCACCCAGAGGAGGTGTTAATTGGTGAGGGCAGAGGAGACTCTCCCAGAGCTCTCTTCCCTCTCCCTCTGCCCAGGGCCCTGCCTCCCAGGGCCTTCACATCCTCTTGGGTAAGCCAAGGAAGCCTAGGAGGCCAGTAGCTTATGGTTCTGGGTTAATAGGCACTTCTGCAGGTGAGAGCTCACTGGGGAGCGAGTGCCGTGAGGTCCAGGGATTTGAGGCTTGCAGAGGTTTAGAGAATATTTTTTTACAAGACCCTCTTTCACCCCGGTTACATAGGCTCCACCACTCTAGCAGTTGCAGTTTAAAAAACGAAAACACAGGCCAGGTGTGGTGGCTCACGCCTGTAATCAGAACTTTGGGAGGCCAAGGTGGGTGGTCACCTGAGGTCAGGAGTTTGAGACCAGCTTGGCCAACATTGCAAAACCCCATCTCTACTAAAAATACTAAAATTAGCCAGGTATGGTGGTGGGTGCCTATAATCCCAGCTACTAGAGAGGCAAAGGCAGGAGAATTGCTTGAACCAGGGGGACAGAGGTTACATTAAGCCAGGATCGTGCCACTGCACTCCAGCCTGGGCTAAAGAATGAAACTTTGTTTCAAAAAAAAAAAAAAGAAAATGCAGCCCATGTGTACATCCCCCTATCCTTTCCCAGCCTTTGTCCAGATGATGGTTAGTGGCTTGTCCTGCTGCCCTGGGCTCTGGCCTCTGTGCTGGGCATGGGACAGGGTGGGGGCTGGGGGAGAGCCGTGAAGTGGTCGAGCATGCACGCCTGCTCTAGCCACTGTCCTCATCAGATCCCATGAGGGCCCCCAAGCCTTACCCCAGTCATGAGACCTTATTCAAACTTTGGTCTGAGAAGAGCTCTGTCCAAGTCAATTCCCCTCCAGGATTTTTAGGGCAAGGGGCTGGTGGTGTCGTGCCCACACTGTGTCTTCCGCTGCCTGCACTGGTACTGGACCCTCGTATCATTCTCAAACCTGTTCCAGAGATTGGAGGGGCCTCTCCCAGGCCTTCCTGAGGCTGACCATAAAGAACCTAGGTTCCTGGGAGAAATGTTCAGCCCTGAGCCCATCAGCAGAGGGGATTTAATCTCAGTTTCCTACCTTCCTAACCCAGCCCTGTTCCTTTCCCCAGCCCCTGTGAGGGAGGACAGCCATGATAACTCCTCTCAGTGTCATACAACAAGGAAACCCAAGTGGTCTGGGCTCTCTTCAGCCTGGCTTGCTTAGTTCTTTGCTGTCTGGAGAGGGACTCCAGGCGTCTGTGGGCTGTGAACTGTTCCTGGAGCCTCCTCTGAGGACTGGCACTCCTGGGGCTAAAGGAACTCACCGCAATGGCTGTTGGAGCTCAGAATCACCACTGAGCTGTGCTCTGGCCAGGGACACCGCCCCACTCCCTTCCCAGGAATCCCTGGAGTAAGGCCGCAGGCAGACCCCCAGGGAAACCCTGCAGACACCCAACTGAAGAGTGCCTCCCTTGTAGATCCCACCTCTTATCACTGAGAAACTCATCCATAGCCAAGAGACACAAGATCTTGCAAATCTTTGTCTTTAAGATATGTTTAAAAAATAAATAAATACGAGGCTCACGCATGTAATCCCAGGATTTTGGGAGGCTGAGGTGAGCAGATCACCTGAGGTCAGGAGTTCGAGACCAGCCTGGCCAACATGGTGAAAACCCATCTCTACTAAAAATACAAAAATTAGCTGGGTGTGGTTGCTCATGCCTATAATCCCAGCTACTGGGGAGACTGAGACAGGAGAATCCCTTGAACCTGGGAGGCAGAGGCTGCAGTGAGCCAAGACCATGCCACCGCACTGCAGCCTGGGTGACAGAGTGAGACTCCATCTCAACAACAACAGCAAAAAGTAAATTCTAGAAGCTCGGTCCTCCTCTGGCTCCATGAGCCCCAGTGGCTCAACAGGCCCCCAACTTCTGTGTCAGCCTTGCTGTTAGAGCTGCTCCCCAGTCCCCTTGCGCACTGAGCGTGGGAGGCTGCACCCGCCACCCCCAAGGTGCTCAACCACCTCCCTGAGCACTGCACATTCCTGGGGCTGCCAGGGTGTCCCCCATATGTGGCAAGTGATGGGAATCTGCTCTTCTCAGATGTGTGTGATAAGACCAGTGGAGCCTGGACACGTTGGTTTACGCCTGTAACCCCAACACTGGGATGCTGAGGTGGGTGGATCACCTGAGGTCAGAAGTTAGACCATCCTGACCAACATGCTGAAACCCTATCCCATCCTTACTAAAATACAAAAATTAGCCAGGCAGTGGTGGTGTACACCTGTAATCCCAGCTACTCAGGAGGCTGAGACAGGAGAATCACTTGAACCTGGGAGGCGGAGGTTGTAGTGAGCTGAGATTGTGCCGCTGCACTCTGGCCTGGGGGCCAGAGCAAGACTATCTCAAAAAGAAAAGAAAAAAGAAGGCCAATGGCTTTTTTTGATGTTTGGAATGTGGCTTCCTGAGCAATCCCATGAATAATGCCATTCAGCCAAATGTGCATTGTGGTGGCACACACCTAGGGCTCCACGTGGGTATGCTGTCCCATTACCGGTCATCAGGCCCCTCTCACCACAGCCTCTGCCTGCCCCTCAGGCCCTGCTGGAGACGGCGCTGACGCGAGTGGTCCTGCCCATGCCCATCCTGGTGCTACCCCCGATCATCATGTCCGTGCTGGAGAAGTGAGTTGGGACAGCCAGGATGGAGGGGCCACTGTTGGGGAGGAGAGGGAGAGGGAGGGAGAACCAGCTGGCCCAGGCAAGGGATGAGGGGGCAGCAGGAAGCCCGTCCCAGTTTGTGTAGAGTGTGGAAGGTGTCTTGCTCTGTCTCGGACTCCCCAGGTGGTGCCACGGAATCACTCTTGAGAATTCTTGGACTTTTACTATTCAGGACCCTGGGCTAAGTGCCCCGAGGGGTACCAGGATGACAGTGCTGGCCCTCCCCTGAGGAGCTGGTGGTTCGGGGGTTTGTGTGTGTGCACGTGTGCTCACATGCTCTCAGTGAATAGTGCAGGACCATTTATGAAGGCAGAGGCTTGAGGATTCAGGGAGGAAGACTAGATTCACGTAGGTATCCGCTATGGGGCAAATCACCACCTTACTGAGCCTCAGTTTTTCTGCTTGCAAAATATAAATAGTAATAGCCTCCTGCCTCCCTCAGGGATGTTCTGAGCACTCATATCTGTCATGACTGTAAGGAAATGAGGGAGCATAATAACAGTAATGGAGTGAGTATTAATTAATGAGTGCTAAACTGAAGGGGCGGACTGAAATGCTGCTGGAGGAAAGGCTTCGTGGAGAGGGCAGGCCCTGGGAGAAGACAAGGGGACGGTCCTAGGTGGAGGGGGCCTGAAGGCACAGACCCCTGGCTGGTCAGGTGACAACAAGGAGACCCTACCTCATGGGGACACCTCAAGATAGGAGCTGGAATTGGGGGTGTGTGGGATAAGGATAGGGATGGGGATACTCCATCTGGGGTTCTGGAGCAAGGAATTCTTTCCCGTTTGGGGACTTTTTTTTTAGGGGGGGGGACTTTCTTATTCCCACAATATGAGTTTTAATAACAACTGACATTTGTTAAGCACTTACATATCCCAGTCCTCTCTCAGTCAGGTTTCTGCCCAAATGCCATCTCCTCAAAGAGGTCCTCCCTGACTACCCCATCAGAAGTCACCATTTCTCATTACTATCTCTCCCTTACAATCCTTTATTTTTCTTACGGCCCTTATCCATATCTGAGATTGCTCTTCTAGTTGCATATTCTCTGTCTGCTCTACTAGAATGTCATCTCCATGAGGCACGTCCATCCTTTTGTTCACTGCCCTGCCCAGCATCTAGCACAGTTCCTGGCATACAGTAGATGCTCAGTAAGCATCTATGAGTGAGTGAATGAATGCTCTCATTTCACCTTCAGGACAGCACAATAAGGTAAGTATAACATCCTCATTCCACAGATGAGGAGAGGAAGGCAAAGACAGGCTGTATCATCCGCTTATGGTCATCTACTAGGAGATAGCAGGGCCAGCAGTGGCTCAGGAATATGGCTGCAAAGCTTGGTCTCTTCAAGCCACACTGGCTGCCTCTTGCATCTTCAGGTCACATCATGCAATCAGCGTGTGTTTGAGTCCTGCCCTCCATGGAAATGGGAGGAATAGATTTGGGGTCTGATCTCAGGAAGCCTGTGTTTTTATAAGGGTAATGGGCAAGACCTGTACACAGGTCAGCTGCAGGTGACAGCAGGCAGTGAGTGAACTCAGCCAAGATGTCCTTGAGAAGAGGAAGCACTGTGGGCCCAGCAGTAAGGAGGGCTGGTCCCCAGAGGGGCTGCAGCCAACCCAGAGAGCTGGATAGGATTTTTGTAGAAGGGCGGGCTTTCTGGGCAGGGTGTAGGCCTGTGGCATGGACACTGAGATGTCCAGCCTGGCTAAAGGGAAGTGCACTCATGGGGCAGCTGATGAGGGGTCCTGTGTGTCCAGCTCAGATGATCCCTCTCTCACCCTAGAAGAGGGTGGAGCCTCTGGGGATACCTGAGCATGGGCATGGCCTGGTGAGCACTGGGATTAAGAAAATTCCTGTGGTATGGAAGTTTGCAGCAGACAAAAACAGGGTAGTGTCTTTTGTGCCCCTGACTCTTGTATGTGTAGCGCCTTCGTGAACTGAGGTCCCTGAATACCAGTGACTGCACGTACGCACAGGGAGCCAGCGGGGCAGGTGAGCAAGGTAGTTCTGTCCTTGAGACTGCTGAGTCCTGAACCTTGGAATTCTGGAGCAGGTTCAGTGAGTACTGCTCACTCTGTTACTTGCATCACAAGTCCAGTGAGGTAGAACACTCGCACAAGTCAAGCGCAGCAGCTCGATTACTCACGGTAGGCTTCAGGTACAATGGGCACCTGAGATTTATGGCATGCTGATGCCCCATGGCTTGAGGAAGTTGCCCAGGGAGGATGGAGTCTCTTCCACCCACGTACCACATCACACTGCAACTGAGGGAGCCTGGAAGCACTCCACCCTGGGGTTTGCACCCGGGGGGACATAGGCTTGCTGTGCTAAAGTGTTACAGGACATCCTGTTCCAGAAGAGATGGGAACATGAGCCCAGGCTGTCCCAGACAAGCCCTCCTTATCTCAAGATGCTGTATTCCCAGCATATCTGCAGCTATCCTGAGAATGACAAGAAGGTGGGGGCAGGGTGTGAAGCTGGGTCAGGCACGCTCATCCAGGGACCTGTCCTTCTGCAAGAATTTGCTGGGGAAAAACATGCTCTGCGATGCCTCTCCAGGTGGCAGAGATGTTTGCAGAAAGTGGAATGATGGTTAGTGTCCCATTAGCTTGGGGGCTTGAATTTGGCTTTGGGAGTCATGGTCAAACAGAGAAAGTTTCCTTATCTCCCTCAGAATGAGTCTGATGGGGGTATGGCTTGCTTTTTCAGTGCCCCACTGCTCAAACCTCTAGGGGAGCATACAGAGGCGCAGACTGGGGGGCAGCCACCCCCACAGCAGTGTCCAGGGGTGATTGTTCACAGCTGAAGCCCCAGTGGGCGTGTGTTACAGGGTGCTTTTTTAGTTTAGCCATTCATAGGCAGCTTGTGTTAGCTCAATTAGACTCCTCCCTTATCGCAAGGACAGAGGGCTTTCTTTATCCCGGGGTTCTTCCCTTGGTGTCCCAGAAGAATTGGATCACACGTGGGCTTGCAGAATGAGTGCAAGGTTTCATTGAGTGGAAGTAGTTCTCAGCAGATAGGGGAGCCAGAAGGGAGATTGGTTTTCCCCTGGAGTCAGGCTGCTCAGCGGCCCAGGCTCTCCTCCCTACTGCCGCAGCCAGCCTCCACATTGTTCTGCTAGTCGGTGGCCGGCGTCTGTCAGTGTGCTCTTCTGCCAGCATGCTCCCCTTGATGTCCTCTCAACATCCAGCCACTTGTGTGTTTCTCCACTGATGTACTCTTCTGGATGTCCACCTGCCTGTGTGTCTGCCTGCTAGGGTCTTGGGGTTTTGTTGTTGTTGTTTTTTTTTTTTGAGACGGAATTTTGCTTTTTGTTGCCCAGGCTGGAGTACAGTGACATGATCTTGGTTCACTGAAACCTCTGCCTCCTGGGTTCAAGTGATTCTCCTGTCTTAGCCTCCTGAGTAGCTGGGACTACAGGCTCGTGCCACCATGCCTGGCTAATTTTTGTATTTTTAGTAGAGACAGGGTTTCACCATGTTGGCTAGGCTGGTCTCTAACTCCTGCCCTCAGGTGATCCACCTGCCTTGGCCTCCCGAAGTGCTGGGATTACAGGTGTTAGCTACTGCACCTGGCCAGGTCTCAGGGTTTTTTTAGGCACAGGATCAGGGTGTGGCAGGTCAGAGTGGTCTTGGGAAATGCAACATTTGTGCAGGAAAACAAAAAATGCCTGTCCCCACTTAGGTCCCTGGGCCCCTGGGCACAGGCATGGGGGTGGAGCCCTAGTCAGGGGCCACGCCCTTCCCTTCCCCTCTTCCCTATCATTTAAAGGGACCATGCCCTTCCCTTCCCAGCGCTTCCCTTCTCCACTTCTGTATCAATGGGAAGTAGGGTGATGATTCTGGGTCTGAACCTCCCCAGCCTGGGACCTGTCTAGTGTCCGGGATGCCACATACTCTCACATCTCAGGCTCCAAAGGAGCCCCTGTGATAAGGTGAAGAGAAGTCAGAGTTTGATGTTCCTGGCAGCCTCGTGTTTCATTGGTCCTTCTCTGGATTTCCTTGGAGGGTCCCTGGGAAAAGAAGAGCTCAGCCCAGCTTCCCCCAAGAATATGAAGATGAATAAGACCCAGTTTGTGCCCTCGAAGGCTTGTTAATCTCACATGTACTCTGGAAGTGCAGGACTGTGTGGTAGGAGAGGCAGGGCAATGTAGCAGAGTGATCTGAGGCTCTGGTAGGAAAATAAAATCTAGATTCCTGCTCCACCTCTTTCTGCCAGTCTAATGTGGTTGTGGAGCCTCTCTCAGCCTCAGTTTCCCACCTGGAAAATGTGGACGCTGCCCCTTCATCACCTTATTCGTTGGGGCTTTGCATTTTGCACCACCCAGCAGTTCTTTGGCTCTTTGTTGGGGGCCTGCCACACACCCCATAGCCTTCGGGTGCAGGGGCACTAGGGCAGGGCCTCCGCTGAGGAGACTGATGAGGAAGGCAGCCCCCATTCTTTTGGGGAGCCCCTGTTGGGTGAGGGAGTCAGGACAGCCAGGGAAGAAAAGACAAAAGAACACTTCCAAAGCAGCCTATGTGCAAATTAATGGAGTGCAAACTAAAACTGCGCTCCAAGTGCTGAAGGAATGCACAGCAATGGTGGGGACACAGCTGTTGTGTGGGGCCAGGGGCTGGGACCTGTGTTGCTTTGCCTCTGGCGTCAGTTTATACTCTCAGAGCCAGGGTTCCTGGGCTTCCTGCTGGGAAGAAAAAGGGGGGAGCTCTTCCTGCTCAGTTGGCCTTGACTCTGAGACTGAAAGGAGAAGAATCTCAAGTCAGAAGCAGAGGAGCTTCCATCCCCAGCCCAGAGCACTGGGCTGCCTCTGGGGCTGCAGTGCACTGAGTGCCATCCCTCTCTCTCCACCACCCTCCAGCTCCCCTGAGTGTTCCAGGGGTTCACACTGCAGCACCAACCTTGTTGGGGAGAGAGCTAGTTTTAGACCCAGGGCTAGGATTACAGGTTCCTGTGCTGGATCAGGAGTGCTCTAGCTGGCTCAGACCCAGCCCAGCCTCCCAGTCCCTGGAATGAAGGGGGCCAACAGAGGCACCAGGCTGAGTCTGAGTTGGCTCTGGGTCCAGGCCACAGCCCTGAGTCCGCTCCCCCAGCTTCCTTTACTTCCTGGGCTCCGGGTCTTTCCTTTCTCCCAAGCATTCGCACATCTCTCCATCTGCATATTTTAACTCCCCCAGCTGCTTTTCCATCCCTCCTTGCCATTTTCCTCCCCCCTCCTCTCCCCCTGTCCTGCTGTGTTCACTCTCTGGCCTGCTCTGGGCTGGGGCTTCCAAGGCTCCTGTTTCAGCCTCAGGCCTGCCTCCTTCCGGAGCTGGGAACCCAGGCCTGGGGCTTCCTGGACCCCTTTCTCAGTGAAGACTTCAGCCAGCCACCCTGAGAAAGGAGCCTTGGTCACAGCCCCACAGGAAGGGGTCTGTTCAGTGTCCCCACCAGCAGATCCCAAGGACTAGCCCATGGCCTGCTGTTCACCTGCCATGGAGGAGCTTCTCTCTTTTTCTCACCCTTCCCTACTCTCAGGGCTGTGAGCAGGGACCCTTGGAGCTGTGCTTCCAGGGACTCCACACCCTCTAGTCACTGCCACTGGAACAGGAGGGCACCCTCATCCTTCCACAGCCTCCTCCAAGCAGGGCTCTGGGCCCTGTATGAAGCTTGGAGAATTAGCTTTGTGTCCCCCTCTCCTCCTTGTCTTGCTTGAGAAGTTCATCTCAGGGCCCTCTCAGCCTTATTCCCAGCCCCTCTGTGACCCCGAAGGAAGCCCAGGCTGGCATGGGCTAGCATGGAGGAGAGAGAGATGATGGGGGCGCTAGCTATGGGTTAGGGGGATCAGAGGGATTTGAGCTTGATTTAGGCACCTTGGTCCTGCTGCTCAATCCTGTGGAAACTCCCCTTTCCAGTTGCTTAATTCTGGCCAAATTTAGCAGCTGCACAAACCTCGGGGTCTGGGCCAGTGGTAAGGGCTGCAAGACAGGTGGGCTACCAGGATCCTACCATCCTGCAGGTAGCATGAGCAATAGCAACAGCAATAATGACACGCAGTCTCTGAGCACGCACTGCATGTCAGGCCAGGACTCACCCTTTTGCTTGCATAGTATTTGCAAGTAATGGGATCTTTATTTATTTATTTATTTTCTTAAGCAGAGTCTTGCTCTGTCACGCAGGCTGAAGTGCAGTGGCGTGATCTTGGCTCACTGAAACCTCCATTTCCCAGGTTCAAGAGATTGTCCTGCCTCAGCCTCCCAAGTAGCTGAGACTATAGGCGTGTGCTACCACACCAGGCCAATTTTTGTTATTTTCAGTAGAAGCGAGGTTTCACCACATTGGCCAGACTGGTCTTGAACCCCTGACCTCAGGTGATCTGCCCGCCTTGGCCTCCCAAAATGCTGGGATTACGGATGGGATCTTTATTAATACCTGAGCAGGAAGATCCAGGGGCAGGGTTTGTCAAAAGTGTGATCTGGGATCACCATTTTAGAATCATGAAGGGCTGATTAAAATGCATATTTCCAGGTCCAGTGCCCACTGAATCTGGATTTCTTGGTTGTAAGCAGCCCCTGGGAGTTTGCATGTTTAACTAGCTGCCCAGCCCATCTGATACACTTTAACTTTTGAAAACTACTCCCAATTTTGCTGCCTTCTCAGGCCCAGGTGCTGTTGGGATTCTTGTCTCAAGAGGTCAAGGTATATGGTGTTACTGCCCACCCGCATCGGGGCTCTGCCCTTAGGACGGCCCCTTACCTGCCTGTGGCCATGGTCAGCCCTGCTGGGGGTGGCAGACAAGAGCCTGGATTATTTCCCCTTCACACTAGGAGCCTGTCACTTCGAGGCTGCCGGTTACTGAGGTCAGATTTAGTGCCTGCCCAACATCCCCCGGTACATAGTCTAGTCATCCCTCCCCAAGTGGAATGCTGCGGTCCCCGATGAAGGGCCTGCTGTATTAGGCAAAACGAGAAGTTCCGAGGAACATGGTACAGGCACATTGGCCGATCGATATGTCCCCACACTGTCTGGGGATCCTGGGCCCTGGAGGGAGGTTTATCATGCCCCCTCTCCTGCCCAGGAAACCAGCTCCGAAGCCAGCCATAGGGAGAGGGTGCCAGCTGTGTTGTGTTGGTGATGAAGCTGGCAAAGGAGACCAGCTGGGGTGACAGCACCCTTGGGGAGTCAGGCGTCTAGGCAACAACTCTGCTGGCCTCTTGGAGACTTGGCCTTGGACAAGTCACTGCCCCCTCTGTGGCCCTGGGGTTGAAATGGATGAGGTGGCCAGTGGGTATCTTCTGTTCTCACACACAGAAGAGGATCACCTCTCTCCTGGCTGGCATGTGCCCACATGTATGTGCTTTGTCATCCCCCCTGAACTTCGGACCTACTTTTGTTGGTTGGTTGTTTAATTACATGCCACCTCGAGAGCAATCTTAGGTTCCCATGCGTCTCCTTAGGAACAGGGGCCGACAGCCTCTTCCAGTGTCTCTCCCACACGGGACTTGGCATGGAGCTGGATGCATGGTGGGCGGGTGCCCCGAAAGTGCTCATTCGTGACCTGAGTAGTTGAGAGTTCAGCCAGCCATGCCCTTCAAGGCAGGGCCTTGGGATAGGAGTGCCCATTGGGAAAGGTCCCAAAGACCTAACTCCGCTATGTCTATTTAGCTGCACACTGGCACTGCTCCCAGAATCACGCTTCCTGGGCCCTGAGACAGAGTGGGACCCAGCATGGTGGCCCACCCCACCTTGGGGTCTCATGGGGCTCCCTCCTCTCTCCCCCACAGGACAGCTCTCCTGCAGGCGCGCCCCCGGCTGCTCCTCCCCGTGCAAAGCCTCGTGTGCCTGGCAGCCTTCGGCCTGGCCCTGCCACTGGCCATCAGCCTCTTCCCGCAGATGTCAGAGGTCAGTGGTGAGGGGCCCAAGGGCAGGGCAGGGAACACCGTCTGGTGATTCCTGAACGAATACTCATATCATGCTGACTCCTTAGCACTGCTGGGTGCTGGGGCTGGAATTATGCATGAGGCTGGTCCAGGCTCTGCCCCTCAGAGTGAGGGTCACGCAGTCAACACGGTGATTAAACAGAGGCCAGCAGATGAGGAGCCGGGAGTGGAGAAGGGTGGGAGAAGCTCCATTGGGTGTGGAAGGAGATAGCAGACCAAACCGAGCCTAGAGGGAAGTGGCATTTCACTGGGACTGGGAGTGCGACTGGAGTTGGCCAGACGAGAAGGGATGGGAGGGGAGATAAGAGGTTGGCGGACACCTGGTGTGAAGGCCCTGAGGGGAGGAGGCACATGCCATGTCCAAGAGCTGACCGGTCTACGGCACAACCAAGGAGTGCCGCAAGGTGACGTGGCCCACGAATGAGGGGCTGAGGCTGGGTGGTGTCAGGAACTTGGAAGCCGAAACAGAGATTGTGAATGTCCTCCTAAGGGCTGTGCAAGGCAGACCACAGATTCCTGATTCTGAGCAGCCCCTGTGCTGCCGCATGGGGCTGGGTTGGAGCTCTGGAGAAGGAACCATCAGGAGGCTGTGGCGGGCGTCCAGCAAGCAGTGATGGCGGCTTGGACCCGGCTGTTGGCAGTGGGCATGGAGAGAAGGGCCCCTTAAGAGGGAGTCAGGAGGCAGCTTCTTCAGAATCCGGTGAAGAGCTGCCTGTGGTGGGAGGGAATGGGAGCCGGCTGGATGTGCGCCTGGCTTTTGGTTTTGAGCAACCAGACAGACGTAGCTGCTTAACGAGATGGAGCCACGTGGGGGCAGATTCGAGGGAGGGCAGCAGGGTCAGTTGAATGGACACGTGGGGTTGAGGAGCCTGTGGGATGTTGGCTCTGCATCTGGAATGAGGAGAGAGGCTTAGACTGGAGGGGTAGAAGTAGAGGATACCAACATGCGAACGGTGCTGGAAGTGAGTGAGGGTGGTAGGTGAGGCTGCCACCCTGGTGGGGTCCAAGGACAAGCAGCCGGGGGTGAGGGCAGAGCCGGACCACGTGTGATCAGGTAAGTGGGCGTCCACAGGATCAGACTCTGCCGAGAGGTCACACTTCATGAGATGACAGAGTATCCATTGGTGTCTTGGGCAATATAGCCAAACCCTGTCTCCAAAGAGGGGGCCCAGGTGACAGGTGAGGGGAAAAATGAGAAAGACAGGTCCACAGCTGCAATAAGATGTGAGATTAGGAGGGGCTTTTATTTATGTATTTGTCCTTGGTTTTTTTGGGGGGAAGGGGACAGAGTCTTGCTTTGTCACCCAGGCTGGAGTATGGTGGCACAATCTCGGCTCACTGCAACCTCCACCTAACAGGTTCAAACAGTTCTCTGCCTCAGCCTCCCGAGTAGCTGGGATTACAGGCACCGCTACCGTGCCTAGCTAATTTTTGTATTTTTAGTAGAGACGGGGTTTCACCATCTTGGCCAGGCTGGTCTCGAACTCCTGACCTTGTGATCCTCCCGCCTCAGCCTCCCAGAGTGCTGGGATTACAGGTGTGAGCCAGCGCTCCCAGCCTATCCTTGTTTTAAATGGGAGAGACGGGGGCTTGTGTAAATGCAGTAGGGAAGGCACCAGGAGAGATGCTGAGGACACTGAGAGGATGATGCTGGGGGAGGAAAGTCCATGAAGAAGAGGGGGAACCAGAGCACAGATGAGGGGATCAGCCCTGGTATGGGGAGACCCCTCCCCACTTCAGTAGGTGGAAGAGGAGTGGGGTGGGAGTAAGATGTCGCTGGGCATGGGGTTCAGGGGTAGGAAAATTGAAGAAGTTGTTCCAGTGGCTCCTGTGTTCTTGTGACTGAGCAGAGAGGAGCGGAAGGGGCAGAAGGTCAGGGGTCTGAGGGCACAGAGAAGGGGTGAGACATCCAGAGGGGAGAATGAGAGGTGAGGGAGGCTGAGCAACACATAGTCTGGGGGTGTGGCCAGGGCCTGTTCACCAGGAGGTGCTATGGGCCAGTACAGGGAGGGCCATAGGTCCTTTCTGCTGGAGTTTTGTCATGTTGGGAGTAAGGGGGCTTCAGAGATAGGCAACAGCCTGGAGGAGCCGAGGACCACGGGATCTATGCTGGGTTGGAGTGAAGGTGGGAGCTAAGCTGACAGGGAGGAGCAGACCGAAGAGGGCCCGGAAGGTGTCTGCGCTGACTGAGCTCACAAGAAGGCAGGGGCTGTGGCCAGAGAGTTCCTTCTGAATCTGTAATTTCAGGATGGACCTGCTTCAGTCAGGGCCCCATGTGAGGTGGGGGAGAGGTAAGGGCTCCTGGAGAGAGAAGTTGGGGAAGTGAAAACAAGAGGCTGGGGGTGTTGGGGCTTCGAGGACTTAGAGCAGGAGGAGGGTTGACCCGCCTTAGGCCCCAATGTCCCTGGGAGGTGAGAACTGGGGTGGCTTCCTTCCAGAGCCCCAGAGTTTGAGGAGGAGACTCTGTGGGAGTGGGGCTCCTGTCTTGGAGGATACCATTCAAGGCACACCAGGATGGAAGCCAGCGGGACCTCATCTCATACCCACAGGGCCCAGCCTTGTCATGGATGCTGGGATGCTCCCTCCCCCACCTCCCACCCCGGGAAAGCTGCAGTCTGAGAACTCCAAATGGAGCTGTGGGCTCTGGGTTGCCTAGGAGCCCTGAAAAGGGAAGGGCAGGTATTTCTCAGTGGTCTCTGGCATTCCTGTCCCTGCCCAGCACTCCATTAAGCCATTGTATCTGTCTGTGCAATCAGCCTGAGACCAGGGTCCTAGGCCAGGGACAGAGTCACCCATGTGCTTGTGTGTACCTCTGTGCTTCTAGTAGCTGTCGTAACTCCACCTGCCTGCACAGAGAAGGGACCTAGGGCAAAGAAAACGCATGACCCAGAATTAAAGACCCTCCCAATCGGAAGGATTTTCAGGGTCATCCAGTTCCCTTGCTCCTGACTTTGCTGGGAAAATGGTGGCCCAGAAAAGCCATGGTACCAGCCCAAGGTCGCAGAAGCCAGGTGCTTACAGGAGAGGAAACACCAGAGGGCCACACTCCAAGTCCAAGCCCCTAGGAAATGCTACATCTGATTGTTTTCTGTGGCTGAGTTTCTCTCCTTAGTCAACCACCTTGCCTGCCTTGGGACAGTTAAGAGAAGAGGAAGCTGGGGGCTGCACTGTGGTGGGAGGTGTCTAGAAGTGCTGCAGGTCTTTGGCAGGTGTTCCTCTGGGGCACATAATGGGGAGATGGCCACCATTCACCCACCAGGCCTCCAGCTCTGGCTGCAAAGCAGTGGTGGCAAGTGAGCCACCCTGGTCTCACAGTTGCTGCAGGTCAAAGCCCAGGCTCCCCTCTTCCGCCATGCCTACCTTGAATAGACATGGGAGTTAGTTCTTCTGCGTGTTTAAACTAAGTCCCTCTTATTGCAATCCAAGCCCCTCTCTCTAGATTGGGAAGACGGTAGTCATTGCATGTTAAGTCTTTGTCCTCTGGGAAGGGAGGGTAGAAGCATGATTTTCAGAGCTTCCTCGTCAGCTGCATGGATCCCAACAAGATGCAGGCTGGCCTGGGCATTATGGGGTGTTTTGAGGCCTGTCTGGGACCCATGGCACCAAAACCTTCAGCCAACTTGCCGAGAGGACCTTGTTCCCCTGTTCACTCTTCCAATTAATTCTCCCTAACAAGGTGCTGCTTCTGCCGTACGGGGATCATGTCTCACGTCCCAGAAGCCAGTGGGATTTGCCACAATAAGTCTGGGCTTGCTTGGGCTGACCCAACCTTGCCAAAAGCCACCAAGGTTGTCAACAGAAGTAATCACTGGAACACCAATTAATTAATCAGGGGACTCGGAGATAGAATTTAGGAACTCATTCCTAAAATGGGTGGCCTGCAGTGATTGGTATGGGGTTTCCAATTCACTAACCCCAGAGATTGAGTTAAGGACTTCAATCCTTCCCTCAATTCCTAGAGGAGAGTTTTGTCTGCTCTTTTCAAATTAGTAGTTTTGCCTGTTAAAATGGTACTGAGGGTCAAATTGCAAATAATAATAGTGGCTACTATTTGCCAAGTATCTATTGGACCAGGCAGCGTGCTGGGAGCTTGGCATGCTTTACTGTATTAAGTCTTCCTGATGCCCTTTAAGTCCAAAACATTGAACATCAAGTGGTGATTCCTAAACAGTCAAATGGCTCTGGGGAGAGATTTTGGCTGGAGATATGGAACCTTCAGTGCATAGGGGAAAATTGAAGCTGAGAAAGGGGATGCGGTCAGTGACAGGAGAAAGAAAAACCATCAAGAAGGCAAAGAAACAGCCAGGGGCACAGGGAGAACCCAGATGGAGTAGCTTCATGGAAGCTTCGAAGAGGAGGGGCTGTCTGCAGAGTGGGTGAGTGCAGCGAGGACTAGAAGGAGTGGAGGAGACTTGGGTGGCCATAGCTAGACAGGGCAGTCTAGGAGGCCACATGGTAGTCAGTTTCTTCTTTGTTCAGAATATTGAGCTCAGGGATCGGGAACAGTGGGAGAATACAGCAAAGAAACTGCGAGATGGAGATTGGGGGTGCTTGGAGAGAGGGCAGTGATGGGGAAGGAATACCCAGAGCCCAAGGTGGGAAGGCACGGCCTCTGTGGAGTCCCCAGGTCCAGTGAGTAGAGAGACCTAGCTAGCTCTGGTGGGGAAATGGGGGCCCAGATCTTGACAGTTCTCCAAGGTAGGTACCAGTATTCCTTGTTTACCAACGAGGAAACTGAGGCACATTAAGATAAGACCTTGTCCAAGAGCCAAAGTTGCTGATGATGGAGCAGGCTTTGTACCAAGGTAGAAGGAGTCTGACCCTCCCCAGCCCACCCATACCTTACTATAGAAAGAAGAGGCCCACTTCTGGGCCCCGACTGCTTGCTGCTAATTTATCAGCAGGAATATCCCAGTGCCCTCACCCAGCCCTCCTCCCTTCTGCAGGAAATCTTTGTGTTTT